GCCCCCCCGCCCCCGCAGCGCTGCCACCAGAGCAGCACCAGGTCCTCGGGCAGGAGGGAGGCAAAGTGGCAGCAGAGAGAACACTGGAGGGTCCACAGGTGAGTCCCAGGGAAGCAGTGTCCACCCGGGGCTGGGAACTTGGGGTAACCACGGCTGTGCATGGGAAGTTCTTTTCACATGACTCATGCTCCTGTCTTGTGAACCCGAATCTAGCAGAGGGCTCAGCTGGTGGTGGGTAAGAGAACATCCAGGGAGGCTTTTCCAGCATATGGGTTGGCTGGGCTGGGCTGGGCTGGGTGTGGGTATGTGGGGACGTGAACACCATGGGGCCACTCGCTGCTTTTGCAGTGATGAGGGCAGCAATGCCACCTTGGCGGAGGGCACACTGCCATGAGGGGGACATGAATCAGGTTCTCCCTCCAACAAAGGAGGATGAGGTGAGCAAAAGGGCAGAGATGGTGCCTACTTGCCGCTGCCCTCTGCGGATGGGATGTCAGGGTGGGTGCTGATGATACGTGTGGGCCTCATCTCTCCCACCATCCTCCCAGGGAGGAGCTGTGGGGCTCCAGAGGGTCTGGCAGGGGATGGTCTATCTGTTGTGAATTGTGTTTGCGTGGGACAAAAGGTGACGTGTAGGTGTGTGCCTGCCTGTGCCCACGCCTCTCGGCTCTGCCCTCCAGGCCATGCAGATCCCTGCCCTGCTCCTGCTCATCCTCCTGCTGCCCCCAGCCAGCACTGCTGCCCCAGGCCAGCCCTGCCCGTCAGAGATGAACAAGGTCAAGGACCTGCTGGAGGTGAACTGCACGGGGCAGGGTCTCAGCGTGGTGCCCCCAGACCTGCCCAAGGACACGGGCATCCTGCTGCTCAGCACCAACCGCCTGGTCTCCCTCTCCACCACTGCCTTCCTGCCCCTCACCCAGCTGCAGGACCTCGACCTGTCCGACAACGGGCTGGTGGCTCTGCACACTGGACCGCAGCTGCCATCCCTGAGGGAGCTGATCCTCTCCCACAACGCACTGGGGGCTCTGCCCGCCCTGCAGAGCCTGCCCGCTCTCACCCGCCTGGCCGTGGCCCACAACAGCCTGGTGACACTGGCCCCGGGGGCTTTCCGTGCCGTGAAGCAGCTGCAGGACCTGGACCTGCGAGGGAACCAGCTGCGGACGCTGCCCCAGGACACCTTTGCAGGGCTGAGGGCACTCAAGGACTTGGACCTCTCGGACAACCTCCTGGAGGAGCTCCCCAAGGAGCTGCTGCAGGATCTGCAAAAGCTGGAGACCCTCTGGCTGTCAGGAAACCGCCTGCGGACCCTGCCCACCGACTTCTTCCCCGAGGGGCACCTCTTCGCCTATGTCTTCCTCACGGAGAACCCCTGGCACTGTGACTGTGACCTCCGCTACCTGCGGGCCTGGATCCGGCAGAACGAAGGCAGCGTCTATGAGCCAGAGCGGGGCTTGGAGAAGACTAAGGTGGAGGTCGCCCCCGAGAAGGTGCTGTGCCAGAGCCCCCCTGAGCATTGGCGGAAGCCCATCATCCACTTCAAGCCCAACTGTGGCAATGTGGGGGACACAGATGAGGAGGAAGAGGATGAATATTATGATGAGGAAGAAACAATGAAGAAAGCTACCATGCCTACCTTCTTCCCCTCACATCCATCCCTCCCCAAAGAGCACATGACCATGTCCCGGGCTGTTATTTGGCCTCCCCTCACTACCACAAGACCTCCCCTCAGCACCCCTTGTAGCTCCACCCTCGCCCCAAGCACTTTGCTTGCAATGCCTGCAAGCACCAGAGCTCCCAGCATCACCACTCCCGCACCAGCCAGTCCCACCATCACGCCCACACAGACCCCTGGCACTACTGCCGTTCTCACTGCTGCTCCCACCAGCACCCCACACAGATCCACCACCCTCATCTCTACCACCTCACTGCCAACCACTATGAGCACCAGACCACCCAGCACCAGCAGCCATCCCCAAACCACCCTTGCTGCTGTCACTAACAACACCTATACCACTCTCATGATGTCCACTGGCACATTTTCCACCACCTCCATGGCAGTGCCTTCTACTGCCGTGATAGAGGCCTCTTCCATTGTCAGATCTTCACCTCCTCCTCTGACATCTACTGTGCCAATGGTCTCCACCATCATGCTTCCCACTCATGCCCCGATGCCCTCAGCTCCCCTGAACACCACACCCTTCTCTCAGCCAGCACCTTCCCCTCCACCTGCACCTCTCCCCCTCTGCCCGTGCTCCGCCCCGGGACTGGCTGTACCTGTGCTGCGCTCGTGGGCAGGTGAGGAGGGTCCACAGTGGGGGCAGTGGGTGCTGAGGCATTGCTGCCTATTGCACTGGGTGCTCTACCTGGCCTCCTTGGCTCTGCTGGTCCTGACCATGCTGGCTCTAGCAGGTTTGCTGGCATGGATGTGTCTGGTGGGAAGGCCTTCCCGGTGTAAGTCCCTGCAGACGCAAGAGGTGCAGTATCCACTGCTGAGGTGGAAAGAGTCGACAGGAAGCCCTGCAATGCATCTCAGCAGCTTCAAAAGCCCCCCCCAGCACACCACATTCTGTACCATCAAGGAAGTAGAGTTGTGGCCTGAGGTCACTTACTGCACATTTAAAGACCTCGGGGTACAGCGCGGTCCGCCTGTAAGTTCCTCCTTTTGCACCACAAAGGAGCTGTGGATCCACCAGGCTCCTCAGAATGCTTTGTTCAAGCCTTTCTCCAGGAAGCTGATGGTCACAAACCTCAGCTCTCTGAAGACCCCATCTGCTTACAGCCTGGACAGGGGTGTCAAAGCCATTGGTGATGTCAGAGTGAAATACAGTGGCAACACCTTGTAAATGGTTCTGTGCTTTCAGAAGAAGAGATGAAGAGTCATGGCTTTGCTTCACGTACCCTTGCTTTACAGGTGAAAGATCTGCTTGCCCAGGGAGAAGCCATCCAGCTCCTTCCCCTAGTATTACTCTCACACACCCGGAGGCTTCTAGGTCTGAAATAGGTACCAGGGTACTTGGCAGAGGGAGAAGATGTCCTAAACTTGATAAAAGTGATAGTTTGGGTTGGACACTGCCTGGTTTTGGGGTGAGTGTGGGAAAGTAGAGCTTGGTAGGTGTCTCCATTGCTTCTCGTTGAACGTTACACATAAAGACGCGCTACGCTTTCAACTCAGCGCCAGGTTGCTCATCGCAGAATAAATATTCTCTTTGCTTGAATTTCAAATGGGTGGTAGTTTCATTTCATTGGACCTTCCATGGTCCTGGCAGGGTACAGTGAGTGACAAAATTGTCTTCAGTACTTGGAATAGTGAAGACAGAGAGGAAAAGTCCACTTCTACCCATTTTGCTGACTTCTGCCCCAAATGTATGATCCTTCACTGTGAGATTGAATCACGTGGGAAGAACATCCCACCACGTGTCCCACTGTCACGTAATAAACGGTCGGTGCCGGTGCCTCTGCGTGACCCATCATGGGATGGCTGGAAATGGGGGAGGAGGGTGGGAGGCTTTGGAGAGCAATGGATGTGACTTGTAAGTGATCACACCAGGACAAAACGTCCAGGGACTGCCCAAACTTTGTGACCACCTGCGCAGAAGTCACTAAACACTTTGGGAGGTGTGAGAAGGAGACAGAGGTTGCCGTTGGCAGGTGTCAAACGGCAGCTCCCAGCACTCGTGCACAAATGCAGCGACTAGATGATATGAATCACTTTTGCAGTCTCAAACACTGTCCCAAACGCATCACCCAGCTCCTGTGGGTCAGGAGACCTTCTGCCAGATTAATGAATTGGACCACAGAAGGTGACATGTACCTGTGCTTGGCCAGCTGAGGTGAACATCCTTCTACGCAAGTGCGTCTGCTGGTCAAGGTCATGTGTGCTGGTGCGTCTGTGGACATGCAGGCTCTGCATTTCACAGAATCACAGAATCATTAAGGTTGGAAAAGACCTCTGAGATCATCCAGTCCAGTCGTCGACTCCTTTGTAAGCAAGCGTTTGTCTGTGTGCTGGTGCTGTCCTCTGACCCCCACCATACTCTCTCCCTCCCTCCTGGGACAGCAGAAACAGCCCCAGAGATCCCATATTTGATCCAGAATCCCTCTGAACAACTCTAGAGATGATTGCAACAGCCCAAGAAACCTCAGATACTCTCAGATACTCAAGAGACACATGGATGGACTTGGGGAGACCCCCGAGACCCCCATCGTTTCAGTTTGAACTGTTTCTTTGCATTGGTTTTTGCTTTTATCAGATATTTTTACTACATCTTGGGATATTTTAATCCTTTTCTGGTCTTACACTTCAATGTTGGTGAGTAAGGATGACTTTTCTTGTTTCATAACAGTGCTGTCTCTCACCTTCTCGTGCTTGGGCTCTGTGGTGGGTCAGCATACATCAGCTCTCACCTCTCCAGGAGGTCCCACAACGTCATGGCATCCAGGTTAGGCCATCAAGCTCTGAACGGCTGGAGAACTGGACAAGTAAAAAGTGGTGTGAAGATCAGGAGCAATGACTAGTGGTTAATGGATCGTACTCCACTTGGATGCTGGTGACATGTGGAGTAACACACAGGCATGTAAGCTGCAAGCTCTTCTGTCCAACATCGTTACCAGTGACACAGAGGAGGTGACCGAGTGTGCTTTTACCGTGTTGGCAGATGATGTCAGGTTGGGAGGGATCAGTCTGTGCGCTTCCAACAGGACTACCCTTCAGGCAGCACCATTCACCCTGGAGAAATGGGTTGACAGAAAGCTGATGAAAGTCAACAAGGACAAATGTAAAGTCCTGTACCTTGGAAAGAAGATCACAACAGTGCCAGTGGGAGACAGACTGGCTGTGGAGCAGAGCTACAGAAAAGGACCTGTGTGTCTTGGTCAACAGAAAGGTGAAAAAGATCCAGCAGCACATCCAGGCAGCAAAGAGCAAGAGAAGCCTGGTCTGGGCTAACAGGAGCATGGCCAGTAGACCAAGGGAAGTGATCAGCCTCCTCTGCTCAGTGCTCATTAGACCACATCAAAATACTGTTGAGCCATGAGAACCTGCAGCCCTCCCCTACACATCCCAGGACCCTCAATTCCCTCCCGAGGTACCACCGGTACCCCAATATCTCCCAGAATCCCCATCACCTCTACTTCTCCTTGAAAGTCCTCCCTAGGATCCTCCACTCTGTCCATACAACAAGCACCCCAGGTGTCTCCAGGAAGCCAAGACTTCCTAGAACCATCTAGGAACTCCAAAGCCCCCAGGACCCTCCAATGCCCACCATCTACCCTGCCATCTACCCCAAAACCCTGACACCCCCTGGACTCTCCTACTCCCTCAGGATCCTCCATACACCCCAAGGTGCTTCTCAGTCCTGAGGCACATGCACATCATCCCCCATGCCTGATGAATGCAGAGCCCCTGTGTCCTCCACCCTCTCTCCAGGGGACCCAGGAATCTAGGCAACCTTGGTCTCCACCACCACCCATCCTGGACACTTGGGCCATTGGTCTCCTGCTCTCCTGTTCCCTGTGATAAGCACCTGGATGTCTGGGTTCTCAAGCAGAAACAACAAGACTCAGATGGGCAATTCAGGAGCTACTTTTATTTAACCCAAGTGTGGGGGAGAAACTGGGGGATCCCCAGCTCCCAGTGAAGGGCTCAGGGCAAGGGAGTACAGGGGTGCAGTGTGGGGAGTCTTTGTGTCCCACAGGGTGCCCACAGTCTAGGGGACATACCCTGGGGGCAGGGGGGGTGCCAGAAACCCATTCTGGAAGGGGGATCTGGGGTAGTTTCATCCTATAGAGGTGCCCATGGGTGCTACCTGGGGATCCCAGTGAAAGGTGCAGAGCTTTTAAGTCCCCCTAAGTATTATTGGGGGTGTCAGGTGATCTTGAGGGGTCCTCAAGGCAGTTGGGGCCACGCAAGGCAAGGGGTACAGTGAGAACACAGGCTTGGAGGTCAGTGTAGGCATGAGGCAAGGTGCCCCGGCTGATCCAGCGCCGGGTGCCCGGCTGGTAGGCATGGACCAAGTGGGTGTCCCGGTAGGTCTCATGACTGTACCCTCCCAGTACCAGCAGTTCCCCCCCCAGCACAGCTGCGCCTCCAAGCACATGGGCCTGGGGTAGGGGGCTGAGGAGAACCCAGATGTCCAGCTTGGGGCTGTAGACCTCAAAGGCCAACTGGTCCCTGTAGCCAGTCTGCCCGTCCCGCTGGCACAGCCCTCCAGCCACATAGAGCTGCCCACCTGCCTCCTCCATGATGTGACCAGCTCTCTGGCCATTCATGGGAGCCAGGAGTGTGGCAGGCGCATCTGGGACGTAGCGCAGCAAGGACACCTGGCACTGGTACGCCTCGTCACACCCCCCTGACACGTAGAGGGCACCATCCAGGGCACACGCCGCATGTCCACACAGAGCCATCGGCAGGGGCTGGCAGTTCCCGGGCAAGGAGAGAGGGAGAGGGTGAAGGGCAGGTTAAGGAGGGCTGCCCCATGGTGGGTGCCTGGCCAGGGGTTCCTCAGTGAGCCATGGCTCCACTGACCGCTCAGCAGGCAACACTGGCCAACACCCAATGAGCCCCAGTGGGTGGCATCAACTCACACATAACAGATGCCCAAGGGGCACCACTGTTCAGCAGTTTGTAGACCCCAAATGACATCATCGGTCAACCCCCAGAGGACTCCTCGATGGACGATATAAGCCAATACCCAACAGAGCAGCCAATGAACACAGATGGAAGATGTTTAAATGATTCATCTCATTGGCAGATGGCCAACAGACCTTCGGTGAATATGACTTGCCAAAAACTCATTCACCGCTCAATAGGCACCACTGGCCAACACCCAATGACCCCCAAGGGGCATGGTTGCTCAACACCCAGTAGACCTCTCCCAAAGGCCACCATAGGCCCATTCTCCATTGGAGGTTCAGTGACCCAAATATGACTCAATGGGCACCACTGGCCAATGCCAGGGCAGAGGAAAGCAAGTGTCCACGTGGAGCAGTCTCACCTCCAGGTGTCATTGGCCAGGTCATAGCACTCCACGGTGTCTGTGCAGTAGAGCTCCCTCGAGCTGCCCCCCAGGGCAAAGATGAAATCCCCAAGTGCTGCAGCAGCAAAGTAGCTCCGCCCACAGGTCATGCTGGCCAGGCGCTCCCAGGAACCGTCCATGGGCTGATACCTGCGTTTGAGAGGTAAAGGGGGCAAGAGGCTACCTGTTACCTACCAACATCAGGTGATGTCGGCACCACTTGAAGGCAACAACCCACCTACAACCAGCCAATCCCATAATTCCTTAGGGCCACAAGGTCCCCTTGCATGGGAATATCCCTTCCTTCTGGGCAATACCAAACCCACAATGCCCTGAGGCATCTCCAGACTGTAACCTCCCTGTAACCTCCCATGGTGAGAGAGCACCTTCCAGTCCTACACTCAGTCAATCCCACTTGACTAACTGCAGTCCCACAATGTCGTGGTTCCATGGGGCAGCTCTAGCTCTGCCAACACTTCCTCTGGTCCCACAATGTCCTGGTGGCACATGGCACCTCTAGGTCCTCTGTAGCTCTTACCTGTAGACACTGGCCAGGGTATCACGGACCCCATAGTAGCGCTTTCCACCCAGGACGTAGAGGATGTTGCCCACTACAGCTACAGCATGGCGGAAACGTGGGCCATCAGGAAAGTGTCCCAGCGCCCGCCACTCCACCTGCTTCACCAGGCCCACAGCACTGAGGTAGCGGTTGGCAAACCAAAGGTCTCTGCTGGGCTTCCGGGCAGCCAGGTTGGCCGTCAGTTTGTCTCCACCACAAACCACCAGCACATCTTCCAAGGAACGCACTCGACATGGCAGCTGTGCCATGG